CACACACAGTAAGTTAACATACACACACACACACACACACACAGTAAGTTAACATACACACACACACACACACACACAGTAAGTTAACACACACACACACACACACACACACAGTAAGTTAACACACACACAGTAAGTTAACACACACACTAAGTTAACATACACTCACACACACAGTAAGTTAACACACACACACAGTAAGTTAACACACACTCTCACACACACAGTAAGTTAACTTACTGTGTGTGTGTGTGTTAACTTACTGTGTGTGTGTGAGTGTATGTTAACACACACTCACACACACACACTGTAAGTTAACATACACTCACACACACACACACAGTAAGTTAACACACACACACACACACACAGTAAGTTAACACACGCACACACACACAGTAAGTTAACACACACACAGTAAGTTAACACACACTCTCACACACACACAGTAAGTTAACACACACACACACACACACTGTAAGTTAACACACACTCACACACACACACTGTAAGTTAACATACACTCACACACACACACACAGTAAGTTAACACACGCACACACACACACTGTAAGTTAACATACACTCACACACACACACACAGTAAGTTAACACACGCACACACACACACAGTAAGTTAACACACACTCTCACACACACACAGTAAGTTAACACACGCACACACACACACAGTAAGTTAACACACACTCACACACACACTAAGGTAAAGCACAATTATGTATTATGAAAGATTCAGTTCATTTTCAAAAACAGATCGGTGACTTTAGAAACACATTGGAAAGACTCACTTGTTTCGCCTTCTTCTTTACCAAATCCTTTCAAATTTTTCCGCAAAACATTTAGAAGTTTTTTTGTAATTTTCTTTTTATTGTCTCTTTTTTTAATCACATTTCGGCCACATTTTGTCACATTTTTGTCACGTTGTCGTCACGTTGTCACATTTTCATCACATTGTCGTCACATTTTTGTCCCGTTATAGTCACATTTTTGTCACATTACGGTCCTATCTTTATCACATTTTTGTCACATTATGGTCACATCTTTGTCACATTTGTCACGTTATCGTCACCTTGTCGTCCTATTATGGTCACATCTTTGTCAAATTTTTTGTTACATTGTCTTCACATTTTTGTCACTTTATCGTCACATTTTTTGTTACATTGTCGCCACATTTGTCACTTTATCGTCACATTTTTTGTTACATTGTCGCCACATTTGTCACTTTATCGTCACATTTTTTGTTACATTGTCGTCACATTTTTGTCACTTTATCGTCACATTGTCTTCATATTATGGCCACATTTGTCACTTTTTCATCTCGTTTTTATCACTCTTATTTTTTTTCCTTTCCCCCGTGTGTACCTACACCCAGTAAAACAAGAGAAAAACAAGGACCAAGAATAAAAAATTAGATAAAACACGAACGTAGTTAAATAATAAGAAACAATCACAAAAGAAAAAAAAAAGAAAATAAACTTTTTGTGGGGTGATTACATTTCCATTGTCTCCAACATTGAGGGTCGCCACAGGTCCTCAAATTCTTTCATTTTGTTCTTTAACCTTGCAGTTACTTTTTCCATATTTAACACATCTTTCATTCTGTCCCACCATTGCTTTGCACGAGGTGGTTGTGGTTCAAGCCAGCAGACTGTAATAATTTTTTTTGCTATTATAATTAACATCCTAATAATCTTCCTTATTTTTATTGGAATATTTTGGGGGATAATACCCAACAAAAACAATTGTACGTCTAAATCAATGTTTACATTAACGATTCTTTCTATCTGTTTTTTTACATTTTCACAGTATTCTTTGAGTTTAGGGCAGTCCCAGAATATGTGTGTATAGTCTCCTACTTGGCCACAACCCCTTCAGCACTTATCAGACATTTTACTGTATTTTGAAATATGCAATGGTACCAGGAAATATCGCATCTTTACTTTCCATTCAAACTCTTTCCATAGCATACTACTAAACAGAAGTAGTTTGAAGCTCACTGTGACTCATTTTCAGATCTTGAGATGCCTGTTTTTGTAAAAAACTAATCAATGAGTTTAGCTTGAACTAAAACTAAATGTACAATCAATATTTGTAGATCCTTATTGTCTTTGCAAGTCCAGATATGAGCCATATATCTCATTACAAAGTTACTGAGCTAGAGGAGTTCAGTTTTTAATGCAAGTCAGTAGGAGCCAGAGCGAGTTGGAGCAAACTTGTTCCATAAGCACTTCCCTTTTGGGCTACATTGAGCTAGCAGCGTTAGCATCGTCCATTTGTATACAGTCTCTGGTCTGTCTACTACAATAGAACCAAAAATAGCGTTTAGTAAGATCAGGATAATTGCTAATCTCTGTGGCCTGGGAGAGATTTGTACAGCTGTGTTTGTGAAAACACACATTTTCTGCAATTACACAGTTCAACAAGGCATTGTCTTAGTGGCATAAGCTTCAGGAAAGGAACAACGTGTGAAAATGACCTCAGCTGGAGTACGTTTATGTAATGTGTGCCGCAGTCATCTGAGGGACTGTGACTGTGCAAAGATGCTATAACGGGACTGGACTTTCCCACAAGAATTAGCTCTTAGCTTTTTGTGCGACTCAGCAGCAGTTTGAACATGATGCTGACTCTATAACAAATGAAAAATCGAATCGTAATGAGAAGGAGGTCTGAGGAATTATGTTTTTTTTAAATCGTGTAGACTTGTCCTCACAAAGTCAAATGTAAGACTAAACCCATTTTTTTTGGGTGGAAAGATCAGTAGATAAAGAGACCAGCGAGAGAGACCAAAAAGCCTATAGGCAAGGGGGGATCAGAGAGGGTGAGAGGGAGAAAGGGACCAGAGTGAGAGAGAGAGACCAAAGAGGGCGAGAGGCTAGGGGGGATCAGAGAGCGCACAAGAGAGAAAGGGACTAGAGAGAGGCCAGAGACGGGAGAGGGAGCAAGAGAAAGAGACTAGAGAGAGACCTGCCTCTCTCTCATTCCCTACCGCTTCCATGGAGCTCTCTGTGTTTGTAACTGCGTCTCCAGCCGCGTCTGTCACAAAAAGGAAACACTTTAAAACCATTCCATTGTCCCCTCAGGGTCTCAGCAGTGTCCCCTCACGGTCTCTGCGCTGTCCCCTCACGGTCTCTGCGCTGTCCCCTCACGGTCTCTGCACTGTCCCCTCACGGTCTTGGCGCTGTCCCCTCACGGTCTTGGCGCTGTCCCCTCACGGTCTCGGCGCTGTCCCCTCACGGTCTCGGCACTGTCCCCTCACGGTCTCGGCGCTGTCCCCTGACCGTCTCGGCGCTGTTCCCTCATTACCGACGCAGAAGCTGTTTTTAGCTCCACATACAATCAAGCTTTATCGATCTCACAATAGACATTTGGCTTCAAAAGTCAGTCCGGGGTCTGTAAATCATAGTCTGTATCTGTAATATTAACGAACGTAGTTACGCCTAACTCCGCCTATTGAAACTGATGTGCCACCGCTTATGGCTTTTATGGGGCTTTTTCAAAATGGCCACGGGGGCTGGAAAAAGTGAAACGCATATCCACGGCGGCTAAACTAGACTGGTCCAGAAAAAAATATACTCCCCTCAGACCAAGATCCGACTTTTGGACCATCCTGCAAAGACATTTTCAAGAGGAAACAAAACGCCATACAAAATCATTGGGTAATTCTCTTTCTGGGTACACCCCCACAGGCCCGGAGTGTACAAGTAAAAAGTGACCATGGCAGTGCGAGTAAACAATATTTATTTTTATAGCGCACAGAGCACCACTATCATGTGTGATATACCACTACGGTGACTCCTTCTGACGGAGAACAGAGTGGCAATGCAAAAATGGGTCAAAAGCAGATAGGTTTCCTTACTGGGCCAATAAAGAACTGGGGGATGGAGACTTCTAATCAGGGTTAAAGAGGAAATTCTGTTGCTATTATTTTTTGGAAATAGATGGACATTGATAAGTGGCTACAACACTCGCTACCAATAGCCATACATGAGTTTCTGCACTTCTTTCATTCCCAAAGGGTCTCAACTGTAAACTTTGAAGCGTAAATCGACTCGAGACAGATGTGAGTTGCCAAAGGAATGATTCTCAAGATCAGGTTTAAGGGCCGCAATAAAAACACAAATGAAATGAAACCGGTTCGACCTTTATTCATAATTGATGTGATTGATCCTTTGAGCCGCGGAGAGTTGTCCTGGCGTTGTGTAAGAGGTGTGAGTGTGTGACCCCCCCCCACAAACACGCACACATATTCTCACACACACACATATTCTCACGCACACGCACACATATTCTCACACACACACACTCACACACACACACACACACACACACACGCATATTCTCACACACACACACACACATTCTTCCATGGGTCTTTGGCTCGCTGCCTCCGTCCTTGAGTTATGTAAAGGTGTTTACGCCTCTTCTTGGACTCCTGTTTCCTGCTCCACAGAAAAACACAACAACAGTTTATATGATGTGGGTCAGACCAGGCTGTACCTGTGCTCCTGGGTTCATCAATATGGGTCAGACCAGGCTGTACCTGTGCTCCTGGGTTCATCAATATGGGTCAGACCAGGCTGTACCTGTGCTCCTGGGTTCAGCAATATGGGTCAGACCAGGCAGTACCTGTGCTCCTGGTTTCATTCAAAAATGTGTTTCTGCTCGTATGTGGGTCATGTGATGAAGGTTATCACATGAAACGAGCCGTGTTTGGGTAAATGAAGCGCTTAATTTTTTTGGGGGAAAAATATGCATGCAATCATTATTGTAATATTTCTTCTCCCTCTCTCCTCTCGGCCTCTGGCCTGTCTCTCTCTGGTCTCCCTCTTTCTCGGTTCTCTCTCTGGTCTCTCTGGCCTCTCTGACCTCTCACCTGTGTTCGATTCCCACATTCAGCAGTTAGACCTGTTTAGACCCGTTTCCATGGCGACGCGCTAGCACACAATGTTCTAACCATGTTCTCGTCTCTGTGTGTGCAGCTCCCACCTCTCTCCCATATCCATCCTCCCCGCCGACTCAGCCCAGTAAGTCCATATGCACCGGCGTCTCCACGGTAACACGCCATCACACCAAACGCACACACGCTGAGGCGACACAATGAGGTTTTGATGATGTCATAACTTTGGTTTCATTCATGAACAAAATGTACCACTGATTTTAGCTTCATTTGCACTTTTATCACTTACACCTTTTACTCACGTTGCTTATTTAGCCTTTAGAAAATAGATTATAGCGTCTCCTCTTTCTGCTGAAACTTTGAGAATTCACCACAAACTCTAAGATTCTGCTTATTTTCTACTGAGTGAGAGAGACCAGAGGGAGTGAGAGAGACCAGAGGGAGTGAGAGAGACCAGAGGGAGTGAGAGAAACCAGAGAGAGAGGGCCCCGAGAGAGACCAGAGGGAGAGAGACTCTGTTGGACCCTGTGTAGTATTTGAGGAAGCGGTCTGTGTGACCTGCGGTGTCTGAGGACGAGGAAGAGTTTGCGTCACATGACTGTCACTCGCACCACACGCCGTGAGAAAACACTAGAGATGAACCCAGACTTCTGCTGCAAAGACAGATGTGGAATCTATATGTGACACATATTTTTACAGTTTTAGCTTCATTTAGTCTGGTCTGTCTCTGGTCTCTCTCTCTGGTCTCTCCCTCTCTGGTCTCTTTCTGGTCTCTCCCTGGTCTCTCTATCTGGTCTCTCCCTCTCTGGTCTCTTTCTCTGGTCCCTCTCTGGTCTCTCCCTCTCTGGTCTCTTTCTCTGGTCTCTCTCTGGTCTCTCCCTCTCTGGTCTCTTTCTCTGGTCTCTCCCTGGTCTCTCTATCTGGTCTCTCCCTCTCTGGTCTCTTTCTCTGGTCCCTCTCTGGTCTCTCCCTCTCTGGTCTCTTTCTCTGGTCTCTCTCTGGTCTCTCCCTCTCTGGTCCCTCTCTGGTCTCTTTCTCTGGTCTCTCCCTCTCTGGTCTCTCCCTCTCTGGTCCCTCTCTGGTCTCTCCCTCTCTGGTCTCTTTCTCTGGTCTCTTTCTCTGGTCTCTTTCTCTGGTCTCTCTCTGGTCTCACTCTTTCTTTCGCAGAAGCACAGGGACTCAGTATTTCTCTGTCTGTCCCAGGATCATAGAGCAGACCATCAGAGCGGCCGTAGAGCATCATCTCCTGGAGCTGAAAACTTCCATCGACCAAGATCTGAGCTTCAAGAATCACAGGTACACAACTGGGACATAGACTTAACACACACGCGCACACACGCGCACACACACACACTTGATACTTTGCGCCATTCGACGTCTGTCTGGATCTCTGTGAATGAACTCTGGGGATAACTTTTAGAGCTTGCACCTTTTTTCTGTCGGTAGGGGATTTCCAAAAGCTTTTAATGAGTTTTTCTGTAATCTGATGGAATAACGGTGATTATGATTGTTTCAGATTAAGTCAAGTGCGATCTGGCCTTTACAGTCACATTACACAAAAGGCTTACACAAAACAGGGGAGGGATTAGGAGGAAGTTTTAGGACCAGACATGTATTTTTATTGTTCTCCTGTATTTAGTTTCTTTGTCACTTTTACACATGTCTGGCTCTGAAAAAGTTTGGAGCCAGCCATAGAGGGAATGAAGCCCAACTGGAAAGTGCTCATAGAAGAAGTTTTTCTCCTATTGACTCACATGTTGAAGTAAACTCTCCAATCTCAGTATCCGTTTCACACTCATCGCTTTGGGTTTGAGAGAGATCAGGGAGAGGGACCAGGGAGAGGGGCCAGAGAGAGAGGGACCCGAGGGAGAGGGACCCGAGAGAGAGGGGTGCCCGAGAGAGAGGGGTGCCCGAGAGAGAGGGGTGCCCGAGAGAGAGTGGTGCCCGAGAGAGAGGGGTGCCCGAGAGAGAGGGGTGCCCGAGAGAGAGAGGTGCCCGAGAGAGAGAGGTGCCCGAGAGAGAGAGGTGCCCGAGAGAGAGAGGGGCCCGAGAGAGAGAGGGGCCCGAGAGAGAGAGGGGCCCGAGAGAGAGAGGTGCCCGAGAGAGAGAGGTGCCCGAGAGAGAGAGGTGCCCGAGAGAGAGAGGTGCCCGAGAGAGAGAGGTGCCCGAGAGAGAGAGGTGCCCGAGAGAGAGAGGGGCCCGAGAGAGAGAGGGGCCCGAGAGAGAGAGGGGCCCGAGAGAGACCCTCGTCCTCAAACCGATGCAGCGACCTGTACAAGAAGAATTTTTCCCATTCTGAACATTGCGTATGAGGCGGACTGTGGCTCCGGTTACACACAGGCCACCGCTAACAAGACAACTGTAAATGCCAACGCACAACAGCTGCACAAGCACAACAACAACTTTCACCCAGGACCCTTTTAAAGCTGGGGTACCTGACTTTCAAACCACACAATATCAAGCCATGTACTAAAACAGCAGTAAAATCAGCTTCCAGCCTAAACAGTCCAATAGGGACTCAGGGGGGGTCTCTCTCACACTAAAGATGTTTATAATAAGATGGAGATTACATGTTGTGGTCGGATCTGTCTTGAAACTGGCCTTTGAGCCTGAAGGTCGTGGGTTCGAGGCCCACCACAAGACTTTCTACAGACTCCCACTGATGTCTGCTGTGTGCCCCAGGGCAGCTGTGGCTACGGTCGTAGTTTATCACCACCGTGTTTGGAGTGAAAGAATGATGACATGTGAAGCGTCTTTTGAGAGTCCAAAAAAGCACTATATAAAACCAGAGCATAATTATTATTATTATTAAAGTTTACTTTTCACACAGGGAATAAAAACATGAAAAACACTGGAACAGGTCAGTAACACAAAAGCAATATGGAATGAAATGGGGCAGACATTTTCTATTGAGATAAACTTGTATTAGTTATGTAGAAAACCAGGGTACCCCAGCTTTAATTTGAGTAGTTTTCAACCTTTTTAGTAAATTTTATTTCCTGCTATTTAAAAACAAAACAGAGTTAGGTCTTTCCTTAAAAAGCCTCAAACTTCCCCGTGCAGTGCGTGGAAAGCCCTGAGCCTTATTTGGCCTCTGTGTGAAGTTCCCTCTGTTATTTTTTCCAGGATCAGTGCGACGGAAGCATGCGGTCGTCACGGTGACAGAGGTCAACAAACGCAAGATCTGCGCGACGCCGAGGCTCCGGCCGCGGGAAGCCATGAAGAGGTGAGAAACGAGTGGCCGGGAAGTCTGACCAGACTGAGATAAAGTCCTGAAACTACGAGAGAAGGAAGACGACTCAAAACTCAAAGACAATCAATAATCTCAAATATTTGTACACCGCAAAAAGCAGGACTTAGGCAGGACTTAGGCAGGGCTGAGGCAGGACTTAGGCAGGACTTAGGCAGGGCTGAGGCAGGACTTAGGCAGGACTGAGGCAGGGGCAGGGGCAGAGGCAGGACTGAGGCAGGGCTGAGGCAGGACTTAGGCAGGACTGCGGCAGGGGCAGGGGCAGAGGCAGGACTGAGGCAGGGCTGAGGCAGGGCTGAGGCAGGGCTGAGGCAGGGCAGGGGCAGAGGCAGGGGCAGAGGCAGGGCAGAGGCAGGGCAGAGGCAGGGCAGAGGCAGGGCAGAGGCAGGGCAGAGGCAGGGCAGAGGCAGGGCAGAGGCAGGGCAGAGTAGAGCTGTAAGTAGAGCTGTAACAAAAAATCAAAAGAAGCAAAAATGTTTCGTACTCTGCAAAAACTACAAATGTGACTCACCAGTGAGACCAGATTCAAAGACAAAGTATTTTGTATTATTTTGGAATCTTAGAAAATAATGAGACTATTTACTCTCATTTCATGTTTTATAATAAGAAGTAATATCTTCAGTAGAAAATATATAGTACAAGTTTGAAAGGTCAAGAGTCATCAAAGTGAGGGCTAAAAATCATGCTTTTAATGTCATCTTAATGGGATTAGCTCGCCATCTACTGACCGCAGCAGGAACTACACCCTCCTTCCATCCTCCAACACATGTCTGGGCATGTTCACGTCAGCTTCTGTGATTGGTTCTTCAGAGTGATGCGTCCAACTTAGACTTACTCAAAGCGTGAAGGAGGCAAAACACAGCTCCAGGTCTGGTTTATGAGGGAACTATTTGGATACAAGTCTATTTAATGTCTGTTTACAAAGACATTATCCAAATGTAAACACCGGGATCATAGAGATTTGAGCAGAGACTGGGACTGGGAGAAGGGACTGGGGGCAGGGACTGGGAGCAAGGACTGGGAGCAAGGACTGGGAGCAAGGACTGGGAGCAAGGACTGGGAGCAAGGACTGGGAGCAAGGACTGGGAGCAAGGACTGGGAGCAAGGACTGGGAGCAAGGACTGGGAGCAAGGACTGGGGCGGGGACTTGGGGCAGAGAGACTGGGAGCAAGGACTGGGACTGCAGCAGGGACTGGGGCAGAGACTTGGGCAAGGACTGGAGCAGAGACTGGGACTGGAGTAGGAACTGGAGCAGAGACTGGGACTGGAGCAGAGACTTGGGCAAGGACTGGGGCAGGAACTGGGACTGGGGCCAGAGAGGAGACCGATCTAACCACTGTATTGTTATTAAAGCTGGACTCAGATCCTCCCCCAAATCCACGCTTCTATATTTTGCTTCTCAAACATCGACTCCCATCTTCAGATATTTCCTGTCTTAGTCTAATTTTATGCGAGCTCAGTGTTGGACGATGTGTGAGAAATGCTGTATTTGTGTTAGGATCCGGAGGCCACCCCAGAGGAAAGCTCCAGGATGGACCTGGATCAGAACAGCATCAACACTGCCAGGTAACGGCCACAGCTCTTTTCACACATAATCTCCTAATTCCAGGTCTGTTTTAGAATCTATTTTAGTTTTCTGGTAAAGAACTACAACATGTTGTGTATGTGTGTGTTCAGGCAGGACAATCAACCTTGTGAAACCATGGGGGAAACCATGGGGGAAACCGACATCGACTGCTGTGTGAGTTTTGAAAGTCCATTTAACCCTTGTGTTATGTTAAGGGTCAATTTGACCCATTTCAGTTTTTGTGTTGATCAAAGTACTGGTTATCCTTTCTTTTTCTTGCTGAAATTTGGTGACTTTTCCTCATCTAGGGTCATGAACTGGTGTGTAAAATCTGGACACTTTGATGTGTAGTGGAATGTCTGTGCAGAGTTTGTATACAAAGATGATGTTGAGGGTCATTTTGACCCAGACACTTTAATGTGGGTAAATAGTTGTTCAGATCCAAAAAAACATGTCTCTTTGACATTGTATTTTGATTACCTCTGAGAGCCAGGTGTGTGAAGAGAGGGAACTTTCTCACACTTGTCCTTGTCAGTGTTCTCATGTCATCTCTTTTGCCTAGCGTACATCGGACTGGCAACTCGTTTTATCCGTCGCATTTGAGTTGCTGCCCCGCACACATTGACGATCTGGTGAAAACGGGCAACTTATAGTAGCAAGCCAGTCTCGGGAATAACAGCGCGGACATCGACAGCAACTGGCCTCAACTACAGTGTGTTTTCTGGCATAAACTGTGGAGGGCGCGCAATACACACATGTTGTTGGAGCGCGCCACGGAGCGTGCACATCGGGTGATATCTCCGGATCTGAGTACAACTAGTTGCCGAAAAGTAGAACACGGGCAACTGACTGAAACTGGAGATCGACTGTTTATCTCCAGTTGTAAGAGCGCTCACATCGACCGATTTCAGCAACAGATCATCTTCATCATCTACTCTCAGTTGCCAAAACTAGTTGTCTCCAGTTACTCTGTCGATGTGCGCTAGGCTCTAGACAAATTCACCAAAAATTAGCTCCAGAAGGATGACATCGGAGAATTTATCACAGATTTTAAACTGGGATAATGATGTAGAGGAAGAGATTTCAGAAACAGAGGATTTTTCAGAGAACAGAGAAAAGGAAAACAGGATGAGAAAAAGGAAGGAGAAAGCATGGCAGGAGGAAAGGAGGGAAGAATTGTCATTTTGACCCGAGAGGAGGAGAGGAAGATTAGACTAAATATTTCTTAAATATAGCGTTGGAATTAAAAATGTATTGTATGTCACTTTTCTAAATATTTATATAACCTAAAATAAAGTTGTTACTGGTTTTTACCTGTTTTCTTGACTGTTTTGAGTGCATTTACACAGTACGGGTCAAAATGACCCGCAACATAATCAATATCATTTTTTTTCAACATAATACAAGGGTTAAAGAGACAGTGTACATTTATATCACAGATAACCGGTCACATGGTATGTTTTCTGATCAACCGTCTAAAGTTATTCTAGATTAACAACACAAAGTTAGTTATTCTAGATTAACAATACAACATTTGTTATTCTAGATTAACAATACAAAGTTAGTTATTCTAGATTAACAACACAAATGAGTCACACAGACTGAAGCAAAACATTTAAACACATATTTAGGAAGAGTCACTGTCCTCTCTCTGGTTTCTTTTTCTGGTCTCTCTGGTCTCTCTCACTTTATCTCTCTCTGGTCCTTCTGGTCTTTCTCTTTGGTCTCTGTCTGTCTGTCTGGTGTCTCTCTGGTCTCTCTCTGGTCTCTCTCTCTCTGGTCTCTCTCTCTCTCTCTGGTCTCGCTATCTCTGATTTCTCTCTGGTCTCTTTAACTCTCTCTCTCCCTTGTCCAGGACTTGGATTCATGTCGGTGCGATCAGAACGCCAACACCAGCGAACAACACAACCGGAACCACCCGTCGCCGTGCCAACCGCATCACCCCGGCCCCTCCCCTCACCTGCAGCTGTTCCCTGACGACCAATGGGAAGGTACGGAAAACTCCAGAACAACGTTAGTCCGGGTTTGAAAAAGGGCTCTTCATTCACCCGTCAGAAGTTGTACAAACTGATTTCCCCGGAAGGTTCCTGGGCGACTGGAAAGCAGGAGCTAAAGTCGATTATTGTGTGAATGCTTCCAAAAAAGGGAAAACGAAAGTAAAAAAGTAGCACTGGTAGTTGAATCACAAATATAGTGGTTGTTCATAGAGGAACTACAATTGTGTATGAAAGTGTTCAAACCCCAGGCAGAAATGTCTGTTTTTGTCCATATTTTTGAGGTTTCTTACATTTTTAAATTATACAAGTTCATGCAGCAGTTCATGCAAGGAAGCCCAGGAATGTACAGGCATTGGAGGCTGAAGGAGCAGCTTTGCCATAAGCTGCTTTCTCTCTGGTCTCTTTCTCTCTTCCATCTCCTCTCTTACGGCAAAGAGACACCAGAGAGGGAGACACCAGAGAGGGAGACACCAGAGAGGGAGACACCAGAGAGGGAGACACCAGAGAGGGAGACACCAGAGAGGGAGACACCAGAGAGGGAGACACCAGAGAGGGAGACACCAGAGAGGGAGACACCAGAGAGGGAGACACCAGAGAGGGAGACACCAGAGAGGGAGACACCAGAGAGGGAGACACCAGAGAGGGAGACACCAGAGAGGGAGACACCAGAGAGGGAGACACCAGAGATAAAAGTGCTTCTGATTTCATTCATTTTCTCCAAAATATGGCCAAAAACAAACAAAATTTCTGCCTAACTTCTACCATTTCACATACTGCCATAAATCTTACCTCGTCTCTCTCCATCCTCTTCCTCCTCCGTCTGTGTGTGTCTGTGTCTGTATTTGTGTTTCTGTGTGTATTTGTGTGTCTGTGTGTCTCTGTGTGTGGTCACTAGCTCCTCTCCTCTCTCATGTCCACCTCCCTCCCATAGACTTCTCATGTATGCACCTGCAGAGAGGAGGCCAGGGTAAGTGCCATGTCACAGTCTGTACCATCGCTCTCATCACAGACACACCATGTGCAGACCATGTGTTACCACTGACCACAAACGCGCCTCTATTATGCTATAGTATGGTTGTTTATTGCATGTTGGTCAGAGAGGGGGGGAGAGAGAGAGAGTGGCCAGAGAGAGAGCCAGAGGCTAGAGGCTAGAGGGAGAGGAGAGGCCAGCGGGAGAGGAGAGGCCAGAGGGAGAGGAGAGGCCAGAGGGAGAGGAGAGGCCAGCGGGAGAGGAGAGGCCAGAGGGAGAGGAGAGGCCAGAGGGAGAGGAGAGGCCAGAGGGAGAGGAGAGGCCAGAGGGAGAGGAGAGGCCAGAGGGAGAGGAGAGGCCAGAGGGAGAGGAGAGGCCAGAGGGAGAGGAGAGGTCAGAGGGGAGAGGAGAGGCCACAGGGAGAGGAGAGGCCACAGGGAGAGGAGAGGCCACAGGGAGAGGAGAGGCCAGGGAGAGGAGAGCAGGAGAGGAGAGGCCAGAGTGAGAGGAGAGGCCAGAGTGAGAGGAGAGGCCAGAGTGAGAGGAGAGGCCAGAGTGAGAGGAGAGGCCAGAGTGAGAGGAGAGGCCAGAGTGAGAGGAGAGGCCAGAGTGAGAGGAGAGGCCAGAGTGAGAGGAGAGGCCAGAGTGAGAGGAGAGGCCAGAGTGAGAGGAGAGGCCAGAGTGAGAGGAGAGGCCAGAGTGAGAGGAGAGGCCAGAGTGAGAGGAGAGGCCAGAGTGAGAGGAGAGGCCAGAGTGAGAGGAGAGGCCAGAGTGAGAGGAGAGGCCAGAGTGAGAGGAGAGGCCAGAGTGAGAGGAGAGGCCAGAGTGAGAGGAGAGGCCAGAGTGAGAGGAGAGGCCAGAGTGAGAGGAGAGGCCAGAGTGAGAGGAGAGGAGAGAGAGGAGAGGCCCAGAGTGAGAGGAGAGGCCAGAGTGAGAGGAGAGGCCAGAGGGAGAGGAGAGGCCAGAGGGAGAGGAGAGGCCAGAGGGAGAGGAGAGGCAGGAGAGAGAGGCCAGAGGGAGAGGAGAGGCCAGAGTGAGAGGAGAGGCCAGAGTGAGAGGAGAGGCCAGAGTGAGAGGAGAGGCCAGAGTGAGAGGAGAGGCCAGAGTGAGAGGAGAGGCCAGAGTGAGAGGAGAGGCCAGAGTGAGAGGAGAGGCCAGAGTGAGAGGAGAGGCCAGAGTGAGAGGAGAGGCCAGAGTGAGAGGAGAGGCCAGAGTGAGAGGAGAGGCCAGAGTGAGAGGAGAGGCCAGAGTGAGAGGAGAGGCCAGAGTGAGAGGAGAGGCCAGAGTGAGAGGAGAGGCCAGAGTGAGAGGAGAGGCCAGAGTGAGAGGAGAGGCCAGAGTGAGAGGAGAGGCCAGAGTGAGAGGAGAGGCCAGAGTGAGAGGAGAGGCCAGAGGGAGAGGAGAGGCCAGAGGGAGAGGAGAGGAGAGGCCAGAGGGAGAGGAGAGGAGAGGCCAGAGGGAGAGGAGAGGAGAGGCCAGAGGGAGAGGAGAGGAGAGGAGAGGAGGGGAGAGGCCAGAGGGAGAGGCAAACAAATTCCTGGTTCCAGACCGTGATCCGGATCAAGGTTTTTTTCTGGTCCCATTTCTGAGATTTCATTTTGTACAACTTTGCCCATAACTTGTCGATGTTTGACCCTTAGACTATGGTAAGAGTGAAATACTGACATCGCCCTCTCTGGTCTCTCTCTGGTCTCGCTCTCTCTGTGTCCTCTCTCTCTCTGTTCTCTCTCTTTCTCTGTGTCCTCTCTCTCTCTGTTCTCTCTCTTTCTCTACGTCCTCTCTCTCTCTGTTCTCTCTCTTTCTCTACGTCCTCTCTGGTCTCTTACCAGATTATATACATTTTGAACACAACGGTTAGTCATTTTCCATAGATGTAAATCAGAAATGTTCCCCAGCCTCTCTCCTCTCTCTCTCCTTTTTTCTCCTCTCTCTCCCCTCTCTGTCCTTGTCGACTTTGTCCTCTGCTGTGTCTTTTTCGCTGACGCCGACACAAAGGGTTTGAAAGACTTTAGAGGAGAAACTGCTGGGGCAGAGAGAGAGAGAGCAGAGACATGGGAATGTGTTCTACTCTTTGTTATCAAGTGTAATCTAAATGTAAAGGAGAGAGATGAAGACGAGAGAAACCCCTGACTCTGTGTTGTCCTGCTGCAGACCCCGTCCCGGCCTTCAAGTCGTGGCAGGGAGAGAGTGACAGCGGCGAGGCCCAGCTCTCCCCTCTGGCCGGGCGCATGGTGGGCCTCCCGCCGCTGCTGCTGCTGTCGGAGGAGGGGGAGGAGGGGGAGGGGGAGGAGGGAGGGG